TCACACCTCAGTGAAAGGAGTCACTAATGAGGAGGTAATCCGCTATTTTTCACAACCTTTAGGCTGTAACTACTTGTTAGATCTTTCTTGCATATCTTTGTTTTCCTGATAAACCACTTTGAAGATACCAACATGTATCACAGCAGCCATTGATAATTTCCTACCAATCTGTCCATAACTCTGTAATGTTTGTATTGTTCCTATGCTATTTTGTAAATGCATGTATGTTTATTACTGTGTGTTTTCAACAACAACCATTAAAAATAGTCAATGATTATTTAATTAATCACTCATGTATAGCTCTATTTGTTTTCCCTAGACACCACTTTGAAGAAACCAAAGTATAGTACAACAACCATTGATAATTTCCTACCATTTTTGTCTGTAACTCACTATTATTTGTCTTTTTCCTGAGAAACTATCTTGAAGATACCGATAGATAAAATAACAACCATTGAGAATGTCCTACCATTTTGTCTGTAATTCAGTAAATCCCCCTATTACTATGTTATCCTTTTACTCTTTAAAATAAAAAAAAGAAATAAATGTGATTCTGGTAACAAAAGTGACAACTCTTAGTGCAGTTGATCAAGAAGGAGAAAAATTGAAATCTAGTATAGTATCATGACAGAAATTTGTCCATTAGTGCAATTATATAGAAAAATTTTCATATGAAATATAAGTAATTTCACATCAATCTATTCCTTGCAATCTATAAAGTCATAGGAAAACTTAGCAAAATAGTCCTAAGAAAAATTAAACATCTCCATAGTACTAATATCCCTACAGTACCATGCCTATTAACAGATAGGAGCCCATAGTGTAATATTTCACTACAAATTTTTGTTAATAATATTAGCAGTGAAATTGATAAGCACTCAAAAACATATTAATACTTACCTCATTCTTTTAAAGAAAAGGAAAAGAGGGAAATCAATTCATTTTGAGAAAGGAGCTAATTGGTGTTACTCATAGCTGAAAATGCACTTAGAAGAAACAAAGTTCACAGTCCTCTTTCCTTTTTAAACTAAATTCACATATTCTATTTCAGATTGAGATGTGTACTTTAGGGGAAGTATGCCATGAGCAAACTCCATGTATAAAATATAATTTAAGGCAGTAGCCCCTGGGAGAAGAAAAACAATGTTAATAGATGGAGACATCATACAATTGTACATCTCTGTGATTTACAAAGAAATGACAAGAAAAGTATTTCTTACCAAATGAGTAGGAGAAAAGTTGCTAATTGCCTCCCTAAAAATGGTATCTATTGTACCCTGTAGCACACTTTACAATTTGTGGTCCATTTTTGAAAGCAAGAATGAGATAAGAACTTTCTGTACCACACTTCCGCCAGACATGACACTCTACATCATGTTCAATGCATGAAAAAACACACAAAACCACAAATATATTTTTAGGGGAGAAACATGAATGATAGAATTTTCCAGTGATATTACTTTTTAAGTATAAAATCCATACAAATGAATGAAATGATATGGATTTCCTGGTTATAGAATACAAGACTATTACAGAAAAATGAAAACATGTTTCCATACCTCAGTCATAAGGCACTCATAGACAAAATTTTGAGAAGTGATTTTTGCAGGATTTAAGAATCATTAAATATGTAGTGATATATATTGTAATTATTTCTAAAGATATAAAACTCAAACTACTAAAATACCCCTTTGATAATAAAATTAAGTAAGTAGCTGCATAACGCACGTTCATAGATGGAGGGGCTCAGTAATGGAACTACTTCTCACTCAGTATGTTTCTTCACATGTATTTTTCTGGGACTTAGCAAGTTATGTTGGCTTTCTCATATGAGGTTGTTCATTAAAAATCTGGGGAATCATTTGTAAAGATTTGATTTAGATCAATTAACTGGAGTAAGTAATAAAGGTAGATCTCTTTTACTTTGTAAAAATAGAATGTTTGTATGGATATGCCAGACTTAAAAGGAGAATAAATAGCAATAGTATCATTTAGGAGTTATTCTTTGTACGCCATTCTTTTATTTTGTGTCTAGAAAGAAATGGAAAAATGAGGTGTGCTGATGCATGCCTGGAATGCAAGGCTCTGGGAGGCTGAGGCAAGAGGATTTCCTGTTGGAAATGAAAATTGCCAGCCATGGCGACGTAGTAATTTAAGGAGATCCTCTCTCAAAATAATAAAATTTAAAAGGGTTGGGAATGGGGCTGGGGATTTAGCTCAGTGGCAAAGCGCCTGCCTGGCAAGC